CAAGGGAATATGATGATCATAGCAATCATTTGTAGTGATATAGCAATTCCCCCAAGAAGAGACAATGCTCTAGATTGAGGGTAAAGTAGAACAGAACGTTTAATGGTACAGGTTGGCTTTATATACAATTCCTCAGGCCATAGGCACACCCCCTGCACCTGTTGGATCACTGCATTACAAACTGTACTGACCAATAAGAACAATATAACAATGTCTGACACTCCCACATACAGCACACAATCCCTCCCCTCTGCCTGTGATATAATTAAGGTAGATCATGTACTAACTCAATTATCCCCAGGCAGAAAAACCACACAGTTATAAAAAGTCCAATAAGTACCCCAAAACATAACACATCCCCTGATAGCCCTGATCTGGGTGAACAACATATCCAAAAATCACCCAGATCAGAGCAGGGCTTCAGGAAATTCCTGGAAGTCTCTTTTGACCGACCGCTCACATGGTTTCATGCCCAAAACAGTTCCAGAGAATCAGGGCTTGCGGCCGGTCTAGTTCGGTAGTTTGCAAACGAACAAACAAACGAATAAAATACCGAACGGAGTCAATAGTTTTACCCTGGAGCTAGTTCCCTTCATCCAGACGAATGATCTCACCAAACAGTGCCCTTCTAAGCAGAATTCACACGAACAAGATGGCCGTCACCTCGTGGTTGTTCATAGGAATCCACCCAGACGAACAATTAGAACACTGCGGTGAGAAACGTTCCAAGTTGTTAAAAGGTGTTAACAAGCTCCAGGGTGGTCTCTGCTCATGCTGTTGTTCTGTAAACTAGCCATATAGTCTCTATTGCACGAACAGAGCCTGTTTAAAGTATATTAACTAGTTCTGTTGCAGGGGCCATAGTCATAGGGCAGGAGGTTGGCAAACAGGCCCATCCAAAAACCAGTGGCGAGGTAATTTTCGCCACAAGTTGGAAGGCCTCCATTCAGACCCAATCCAATACACTGCCCCCTACCCCCACAAATCCAATACACTGCCCCATACCCCCATTCTAATACACTGCCAACAAATCCAATACACTGCCCCCAAATCCAAAACACTGCCCCTCCCTCCACTGTAATACACTGTCCCTCCACCCATTCTAATACATTGCCCTTTAATCTAATACACTGCCCTCCCTCCCCTAATTTAATACATTGGCTTTCTCCCTCCCCCATATTTATTACAGTGCCCTCTCTCTAAAGTTAATACACTGCCCCCTCCCTCGCTAAACATAATACACTGCCCTCCCCTTAATTTAAAACACTGCCCCCTACAACCACACTAATACAATGCCCTCTCCCCCAAATTAATACATTGCCAATCCCTCAATTTAGCACATTGCCCCACTCCCTCCCCCAATTTAATACATTGCCCTCCCCCCAATTTAACACATTGCCCCACTCCCCCACCCATATTAATACAGTGCCTTCTCTCTAAAATTAATACACTGCCCCCTCCCTCCTAGAATTATTACACTGTCCCCCCTTCTCAATTTAGCACACTACACAGGAAGGTCCCCCAAGCCTCTCTTCCTCTACCTTAAGATGAGCCGCTCGTCCTCCAGTTCCAGCCCTGCTCTTCTCTGTTTAAGCAGGCCTGACGCTCCTCTGGCACTGTGAGCAGGAGGGAAGGTGGAGTGCCTCACCTGCGGGAGCACGCCATCGGCCGTGGGAGGGAAGACAAGATTTAGACAGGAAATATCTTTCCTGTCTTGCAGCTGGTCGCAGCCACAACACAAAGGGGCCCAGGACAGATAGGCCGCAAATATATCCATTGTGGGCTGCATGCTTGCTGTAGCATTTAGAATACATATCTGTATTCTTAATGCTACAGCCCTGATTTCCCTTTTCAACTAGGTCCCCCCCATGTGTCAAATAAAAAAACAAACAAAATAAATTAAAATCAAACGGATTACTCATTTTTTCTCCAACTCTGAGTCTCCCTCAGCACCTCCTCTGCCTCCTCCTCAAGTTGTGCCATCCTGGAGGAGTGCCTCCAGAATGACAGGCCAAATCATTGCTCCTCATATAGGAGCATTGGGATCATAGGCGAATGCGTGGTGTTGGCAGCAATGCGCCTAGGATTCTGCCATAGAGAAACATTGAATACATCTCTTACTTTACTATGCACAGTACCATCATTGTATGTTATGATATGAGAGTTGAGAAGTAAGATTCCTGGCTATCCTACCCATTATTATATCCTCCAAACTAATGTCTGATTTGGGGCACTTTAACAGCCCAGCATGAAATTCGGTTTTAACTTTGCTATAGTAGTGATGGAGAGACATGAAATGATCAATGATTAGAAAGCTAGTTATACCATGTTTTGTATAGAGTACAAACAGCATTACTAAAGTGATCTGACCTATAATAAAATTAAAATAAACATTATTCCTCCCTCCCATAAAATCTTATATCACCTCGAGATGACAGATGACAGTAAAATGGGTAAGAGACAAGATATCATCTGCTAAAACCACACTTTATGCTTTGGTAATCCTTTGCAATTACACATAGCAATGACTCTGAGATTACTTATTGCTATTACATCTAAATGATGAATGTGAAGAAGAATCTGGAGCAGCAATTATCCATTTAGTTCTAATACAGCTAGCGCTATTTATCCGAGTCCAGTGATTACTCAATTTTCGTAAGATTACAGTGTCAATTATTTGTTCTAGAATTCGTCACTAACAGCTTAGTAATAGTTTCACACAATGACTTGAGAAAACCATTTACTATGTTAGTGCGTAACAATACTAGCAATGTATATACATGCTAATGTTTTCAGATGTGAAGGGAACATTAACATATTAATTTACTGCACAAAGGCCTCTAAAGCCTTAAAACAAACTTTAAATACATCTGGGAAGATTATGCCTTTAAATATATAAAGCTGTGTCAGTCTTCCTACCCAAAAACCTCCCAGGGGACGTGTGCACCTGCACCCTGGCTTTTCAGAAAGGGAGCCCTCCATGACTTCAAACATGGACATTAGATCAAGAGTTTATCGTCTCACATAATCCCGTCTTTGATGTCACCAGCCTTCAGCCTCTTGAAGTAGAAAGGAAAAGCTGTAAAGAGAGGCCTTGCTAATTTATACATGTAAGTGCTGCTCAGCCCAATTTGACAACATCCCATTTTCATTGTTTTGTATTTTGCATGCAAAAGGAAAGCTTACACTAGGTAATTATGAGTGTCCTCTCTACACAAATAATGGTAATTCACAACAAGTCCACCCTGTAGGTTAAAACATTGACAGGGTATCTGTTCATAGACATTACTTACGCTGTCTGCAATGGTATATCCTAGTATAACCCAGGACATACTTGAAAACGAGAGAAATCTCAATATATCCTTCCAGGTAAAATATTTTATAAATAAATAATAATATCCATCACAATCAATGGCAGTACTTTAAATTTTAGTTCTAGAAATCTTAGGGCATCCTGGAACATAGCCCTGATAATAATCTGGAACATGGTGAGGGCATACTAACAGTTTTGCACCCCTTTCCTCAAGTAAAGCCACAATCATACTTCCTGATTGAGAAGCACAGTTGCAGTTTGAGATCCAGATCACCCCATCTTTTCTCCATAGGTATCATAAACTGCTAAAAAAAATTATATATAAATAATTTGTAAAGATAACAATTATTTAAAGCAATTTGAAATTTAGAGGCAAACCCTTGCAGGGTGTTTCCTAGTGTTATTATTTTCTGAGATTTGCGAAACCATCTCAAATTTATCCAAATTTACTCAGAACTGGAGACCAATAAAATAAATCTAAGATGATTCTTAACAACCTTAACCTGATTTTAATAAGGGATTGTCACAATCCAATGAAATAATGTCCAATTTTGAGATGCAGAATGTTTGACTTCCATAACATTTCCTATTGATGCCTGTGATGCCTGTAAGGCCAAGAGAAAAGCCAAAATAGGGATGCCATGTACGATAAGACAGTTCTCCTCTTCTCATCATTTAAATCAAATGAACCTTTTAGCACTATGAATGCAGCAGCTGGATTAGACTATATTCATATAGACACTGAAATAATACCAATCCCAAAACTTCTGTATGACAGTCAGAATGCTTTGGCAGAAATGTATTGAGTTTCTTGCTGTTTCATATCCACCATTGCAAGTAATTTCAAGGATTCCATGACTTTGAGAATCCTTCTATCAAATGTGCCACTCTACTTTGTGGAGTGCAAAATGTTCTTCAGTGGATCTATGATTAAAAACATATTTCCTGTAAAGGATCCCATTGGTCTCATACAATTATTCTAGACACCATAAGAAGTGTTTTGTGATGCAAAGTATTACCTTTTCACTTATTTTGTTTCCCGGATGTCTCTTCCAAAAAGTAATACCTATCTGTTTACCCTCCTTGAGGGTATCCAGTGATGGTCCAGTACATTACAAATATTGGAAAAAGCATTTAATCTTCTTTCTTTAGCACTTGCAGCTGATCTCACAGTTTTATTTTAACCTAAATGGAATAACTGGTCCATTGAACTGGTTAACCCCTTTGCTTAGGTGATGAGTGGAAAACTGCCTTTAACTTATCAGCACAGACATGCTATATACCCTTGAAATTTTATATTTTAAAAAGGGACACTCCAGGCACACAGACCACTTCTGCCCATTGGAGTGGTCTGGGTGCCAACTCCCATCACCCTTAACCCTGCAAGTGTAATAATTGCAGTTTTTATAAACTGCAATTATTACCTTGCAGAGTTAAGTCCTCCTGTAGTGGCTGTCTACCAGACAGCCACTACAGTAGGGGTGTCCAAACTTTTTTCAAAGGGGGCCAGATTGGATGAAGTGAACATGCGTGAGGGCTGACCATTTTTCCTGACATTCTTTGAGTCATTAAAATTAAATGCAAATTAAATATTTTATGCAAAGTTTATTGCAAATGGCATACTTTTCATTTCATCTCTGTATATTGTCTCTCTTTATTCTGCTTCTTCTCTCTTTATTATGTCCCTTCATTCTGTCTCTTTATTCTCTGTCTCTTTATTCTCTGTCTCTTCATTCTCTGCCTCTTTATTCTCTGTCTCTTCATTCTGTGCCTCCAGGGAGAAGGAACCAAATCCCGCGACGTTGAAGAGATCGCGAGAACACAGACTGAGGACGAGCAGTGACTGCACATCTGTCTGCGTTCTCGTGATCTCTTGGCCCCCATTGAATCCCTGCGCACCGCTCAGGACCACGGCGTTCAAAGATCCAGGGATCCTGAGCAGCGCTCGGGGATTCACTGGGGGCCACAACAGATAGATTAGCCAAATTACCTGTGGGTCCATATTAAACCGGAACGCAGGCCACAACTTGTCCGCGGGCCAGACTTTGGACATGACTGCACTAACGGGATTTCAGGCTTCTTAAAACACAAAAAAAGTGTTTTAAACTACGATGGACGTCCTCACGTTATGCATGAGGACCTCCAGCATTGCCAAAATCCCCATAGGAAAGAATTGAATAATGCTTTCCTCTGGTGAGGTCTAATGCGCCCACACATGCGCATTAGGAATCACCCGCTGGCTGATTAGGGACATCGGCGCTGGATTCAGGTAAGTCATTGAAGAGGTTTTAATACCTTCAGCAACATGGGATGGGGGATGGGAGGGGTAGTATATAGCACCCTCTTTTTTTTACCCTTAAAGATGCCAATTCCACAAATGGATAGCAAATGATTGAGTTATCTACTAAATAGCTGAGAGATCAAATTAAGAAAATTAATACTTTGTAACTTTGGGACTGCAAACTTCAGTCATTCTGTATAGCATAAAACGGGAGTCAGAATTTCTGAAATTAACACAATTTTTGGATGCATTTTGATTTATCTGAATCAATATTTTCAGAATTTCTGACAAATCAAAATCCAAAACTTAACAAATCAAAATAAAATGTTTTTTCCCCCCATGTACATCTCTAATTATGTCTTAAGATGGTATGCAAGTCAATTATTTAATTTTAGTATTCCTCCTACATATTTTAGTATTATTCTTGTGTATTGTGAACGTGTATCACTGTTTTTTCGGTGACTATACCAGATTTACTGTTACCATCAAAGCACAGAGGTGACAGGGCATCAACAATAACAAGGTTTGAGAAAAAAATTAAAGACATCTGGAACCTTAAAGGGAAACTATAGTCACCAGAAAAACTACAACTTAATGTAGTTGTTCTGGTGAGTATAATAGTTGCCTTTAGGTATTTTCATGTAAACACTGCCTTTTCAGAGAAAAGGCAGTGTTTACATTGCCCCTAGGGACACCTCCGAGTGGCCTCTCCTTAGATGGCCACTGAAGGGGCTTCCTGGCTCAGGGCTGCACAGTAAGCAGCCCTGCCATTCAGCGTCTCCGCGCTCTGCATGGAGACGCTGAATTTTCCTCGTAAAGATGCATTGATTCAATGAGGATTTGAATGAGGAGGCATTTGGTCCCGCCCCCGTGCTGATTTTAGCCAATCCAATGCTTTCCCTATGGGAAAGCATTGAATTGGCTAAAAATCGGCCATTTCTATGATGTCACAAAGTGGGCAGAGCCAGTGCCGGCAGACCCGCGTGGCGGTGGAAATAAGGTAAGTTTTATAATTTTATAGGGGGGGCAAGCCACCTAAATGGTGGGTTTAGCACTATAGGGTTAGGAATACATGTTTGTGTTCCTGACCCTATAGTGATCCTTCCCCTAAAACAAATAACAGCTTCCTCTCTGCTTAACGCGTCCTAGTTATTACTCTCTATGGGAATGTTAAAGCCCCTGTCTACCAGAAACTTGCTAACGTTAGTGACAGAGCGGGCCTTAGGGTTGTGCAAGCTGTGTGTCAATAGAGGCACCAGGTGCCCATTATAGATAGCACATGTGGTGCCTGCCTTTAGGGTGTGCAAGCTGTGCGGCCATCATGGAAATAGGGGTGATATGACAGCTTACAGCTCACTGTCTGCAGTCCTGTAGCTTTCATGGGCTGGCTGGGGAGATCAACAGATCTCTCCAATCTGCCCGCACTACTTACTAAGCAGTTACTACAGGCTGGTGGCAGTACCCCCACATTCACATGTGTGCAATATTCTTATATGCGAAGACCTCAAGTCCAGAATCATTGTGAATAACTCTCTGTGCAGAGTTATTGTGCGCAGTGTCTATGTGTATCAGAGTGTGTATGCATACTGTCGTTGAATGTCCATGTTAATGCATGAGTGCAATGTCAGTATGTGTTTGTGTAGTGTGAGAATATGTATTTGTCAGTGTTTCTGTGTGTATATAATGTCAGCAGGATACTTATTCCCTACTTACACCCCTCATTACATAGAGCCCCCCTCTTGATATATTAAAATAGTGGTCAACACCCTCTCAGAAGCAGCATACTGAATCACTTGTAGTCCAGTGGCTAAAACAGCAATTGCAGCATGTAGCTACCACACTCCTTGTTCCCTTTGTCAAAGTGCGCACCTAAATACTATTCTGTGTATTGCATTGTTCATGTGTGAATTGGAAAAGTGAGTGTCATATGCAGTGGCTCAATGCACAGAACTGCTGTTTTTACAGAAGAACCATTACATTGTGAGTACAAAGGGGTTTTGAACAAGAGCTTACTTGCTAGCACCAGCAAATTTGGGGAATTTTCATTGTCCTGTGTTAATAGCTTAAAGGATACCCGAAGTCCCTTTCGAAAGAATATAAACTTTTCTCTATACATTTATACATTTCTCTATTTGTGCTAGCAGTCTGTCTGTAACCGTGTTTGTACCTGTCTGCCTATAACTGTGTGTGTGTGTGTGACTGTCTTCCTGTAACTGTGTGTTTGTGTGTGTGTCTGCCTGTAACTAGATGTGACTGTCTGCCTGTGTAACTGAGTGCATGATTGTCTGCCTGTAACTGTGTTTGTGTGACTGACTGTCTGCCTGTTTGCAACTGTATATTTGACTGGCTGTAGCTATGCATGTGACTGTCTGCCTGTTACTGTGTGTGTGTGTGTGTGACTATCTGCCTGTATCTCTGTGTGAGACTGTCTGTAACTATGTGTGTGTGTGTGTGTGTGTGTGTGTGTGGCTGTCTGTAACTGTATGTGACTGTCTTCCTGTTGCTATGTGTGTGTGAATATCTGCATGCAACTGTGTGTGAGACTGTCTGTCTGTAAGTGTGTGTGTGTGTGTGTGTGTGTGTGTGACTGCCTGTACTGTGTGTGACTGGTTGTAACTGTGTGTGTTACTGCCTATAACAGTTTATGTGACTGTCTTTCTGTTACTCTGTGTGTGTGTGTGTGTGTGTGTGTGTGTGTGTGTGTGTGTATATGTCTATCTGGCTGTAACTGTGTGTGAGACTGTCTGTAACTATGTATGTGTGGGAGTGTGTGCGACTGCCTTCGTGTAACTATGTATGTCTGTAACTGTGTGTGAGACGTTCTGCCTGTAACTGTGTGTGGGTGTGGCTGCCTGACTGTAGCTGTGTGTGGGTGACTGTCTGCTTGTAACTATGTGTGTGGCTGTCTGCCAGTAAGTTACATAGTTACATAGCTGAAAAGAGACTTGCGTCCATCAAGTTCAGCCTTCCTCACATATGTTTTTGCTGTTGATCCAAAAGAAGGCAAAAAACCCAGTCTGAAGCGCTTCCAATTTTGCAACAAACTAGGACAAAATTCCTTCTTGACCTCAAAATGGCAGTCAGATATCTCCTTGGATCAAGCAGCTATTACCCCACTAATTAGAAATTATATCCCTCTATGTTATGTTTTGGGGAGTATTTATCCAATTGCTGTTTAAATATCTGTATGGACTCTGATAAAGCAACCTCTTCAGGCAGAGAATTCCATATCCTTATTGTTCTTACTGTAAAAAAACCTTTCCTTTAAATCTCCTTTCTTCCAGCCTAAATGCATGACCTTGTGTCCTATGTATAACCCTGTTTATGAATAGATTTCCAGATAAAGGTTTGTACTGGCTCTGAATATATTTGATAATGTTATCATATCTCCTCTGAGGTGCTGTTTTTCCAAACTAAAGAGATTAAAATTTTTGTCTACTAGACAGCCACTAGAGGGCACTTCCGTGTCCATAGCACAGGAAACCTGTGCTAGAGCATCGCTGGACGTCCTCACGCTGTGTGGGGACCTCCAGCGTCACTCAATTCCCCATAGGAAAGCATTGAAAAGCATTTTCAATGCTTTCCTATGGAGAGCTCTAATGCGCATGCGCATTAGGTCTCCTCAGCCAGCGGGCGGGATCAGTCTTGCTCACCGGCTGACGTAATCACTGGGAGGAGCGGCGGTGAGCAGAAACCACCGCCGAGGGACATCGGCAGGGTCTCAGGTAAGTGACCTGAAGGGGTTTTCACCCCTTCAGCTACCGGGGGATGGGTGTTGGGAGGGAGAGGGGACCTGCAGTGCCAGGAAAACGGATTGTTTTCCTGGCACTGGAGTTTCCCTTTAAGGAAATTGGGCAAACTAGATGGGCCAAATAGTTCTTATCTGACATCACATTCTATGTTTCTTTAGAGGTTTAAGAGTATTTTACCTGTATCATTGCCACAAAAGAAGAAAAGTCTGCCAGTAATGCAACATTACATTTATTCGTCATATGAAATTACTAGAACAACATCTAACAGGACTTTAACCTTGAATTTGTTCTAGAGAATGTTCAGCGCACCATGAGCATATATCATTGAACTGCTCATCCCTGTGGCACTGAAAAAGTAATATTTAAATGCCATTTTGAGTCAGAGCCGACTCTTACATGGCTGGGATTTTGTTGATGACACTGGATTTTTTTCAATTTTAACAGAGCTGGGAATAGAGAAAGCCATGTGATGAGATTGGTAAACTGCAGGATGTGCCACAGAAGGCAATGGTTGCTTTCTCCCTAAGCAGAACTCTTGGCTGTCAGCCATGATCGATGACATAGTGTAAATGTGGCTGACTAAAGTAAAACTAAGGTATGCAATTAAAGCTCACAGATTTTCCTAGATTAACATATTTATAATTACTCCGCCGTTCTTACGTATACACATTTGCATTAAATAATAAATACATTAGATGACAAGTCCTCACCAAAACAATCACCAGGGCTTCTTCGATTCTACCTTAAAATGTAAAATCACTGTAAGCAAAGCTATGAGTTCTCCCTCCTGGTAGTAAATGATACATGTGTTTGGAATTCCGATCCATTTTCTTCATATAATAAATTGTATTATGTTTTGTATATGCAGCAAAAGGTAGTTTTGAAGTAAAAAAAAACCAAAACATGTAGGTACATGTTTTTAAATATCAAACAGTTGAGTCTGCAAATTATTTAATCTAGGAATGATGTACTTGATTTACAGGTACCCTGTTCTATCATAGTTGGTGGCCCACAGGTGCT